CCTTCTCATTTTGGACTCACAACTAGTGGAAATAACCCATCAACCTCCAACATATCAAATCCTTATTTGTCCATTTCATGGATATGGAGTAAATATTGGTCTTGAAGTTTGATTAAATGGCCTGGATGATTTATGCAGAAACTGTTTTATGAATTTGCTACCATAAACAGGACAGATCCAACTTATTTAGGATATACTCTGACTCTTTAACATTTGTACTTAATTAATCCATCACTCCAAGACACTATTCCGTGTGAACAACAACAACAACAACAAGATTCCGCTTATAGAGCGCCTTTCACGTCGGGAGGACGTCCCAAGGCGCTGTACAGTTGGGTCAGGACCCGAGCAGTGGGGGAAATGGTCAGGGTGAGGGGAGGGAAGGAAGGGAGCGAGGAGGGGGTAGAGAGTCGAGAGAGGAGCTGAAGGCACGGTCAGTACACGAGCTGCAGAGTTCTGAATGACCTGCAGTGTGGAGGGAGGACCGGGAAGGCCGGCGAGGAGAGAGTTCCCATAGTCCAGCCTTGAGGTGATAAAGGCGTGGACCAGAGTTTCAGCCGCGTGAGGGGTGAGATAGTGCCGTAGTCTGGCGATATTCCGGAGGTGATGGAAGGCGGTGCCAGTTGTGGTGCGAATATGAGGGAGAAAGGACAGCTCAGGGTCGAACAGAACACCAAGATTCCTGACTGCTTTGAGAGGTGGAGAGTGCAGCCTTGGATGCTGATGCTGTCAGTTGAAAGACGTTTTTTAAATCCAAATAGTTGTTGTTGTACTTCTTTCCAATATTATCTGCTGCCAATTACATAAAACGCCCTACTCACTAATATAAAACAATATAGGGGTAATGTTTGACATGTTTCAAGATTATCACCGGCGTCAGACTATCACCAATGTAAATTAACATCATCTTAGTTTTGAAGTGTTCTAAACTTTCTCCCAGATGTTAATTATAGAGCAGGGCAGCTCTCTCTTGATGTCTGTGTTCACTAACAGCAACAACAAGATTGCATTTATAGAGCGCCTTTCACGTCGGGAGGACGTCCCAAGGCGCTGGACAGTTGGGTCGGGACCTGAGCATTGGGGGGAAATGGTCAGGGTGAGGGGAGGCAAGGGAGGGGGCGAGGAGGGGGGTAGAGAGTCGAGAGGGGAGCTGAAGCTGAAGTAAAACACTGGTCTCAGCCACTTCTCAGTTACAGTGTCTGTGAAAGAGTCAGATCACAAGGGAAATATGTTTTTAATGAATGTTAACTTACATTTAATACTTTGGTTCATGTATTTTTCATTTGGTGCCGTAATGATTTAATGATCCTCTATTATTGCATGTGCCTTGAGAATGCTCAAGTGTTCTGTGGTCAGTACTGTATAGACAAAACGTGACTCAGTCAGGCAGGTCAGTTTTACACTGTTCATTCAGTAAATATATGTATTGGGTGGGGGGGGGTATATATTTTCTGAGCAAAGCTGTTGCTTCTTATCATGTGGCAAGTGTTAATCTTCGTTGAGATAATCTTGGCAAATATTGGAAAATTTCAGGTTAATTTGCACACTATTTAATAATTATACCGCACACTATTTAATAATTATACCAATCAACATATGGGTCATTGGTAATAATATAATAATTTGACTTCTCAAGTGGTTCACAGAATATACTGTAAAGTGAATTGACTATATTTTGTGAGCAAAACGTGGCAGCCAATTGCGCACAGCAGCGTCCCACAAACAGTCGTGGATTGAGTGACCCAATTATTATTGTTTTAAAAATGCAACTAATACCCCACGGAAATCGATCCACCGATCAACTAACAACCCAGTTCCTAATTACTGCTCAGAATACAAAAACTTGTGTAAGGTTTCACCCGGAAATCGAATCTGAGTCCTCTCACTTGCAAGGCGAGTGCTCTAACCAATTGGCTACACTTTACAGTATACGCTGTGAAGCACTTTGAGACATCTCAATGACATGATTATTATTATTATTTAAGTATGGACAGATTTTGCTTGCAATTTGCAGTTGTAAAGAGTGCCAAACCAATAACCAGCAATTACCTAGCAATAAGAACCGAAGTAGTTGAGACATTAACCCATGTGAAGGGTGCGACGGAAATGTTGCAGTGGGATTTCTGACACATTTAGAAAGTTCATCTATAATAATATAAATTCTACCTTAATTTTTTTTTATACCAAAACATTCCTTGGAGCTGTAATGATTTTGCAATCCTCTATTATTGTGTTTTGCCCACAAATATACAGTCAATTCAATTTACAGTATATTCTCTGAAACGCTTTGAGACGTTTAGAAGACATGAAAAGTGCTATATCAAATGCAAGGATTATTATTATTATTGCAAGTGCTTTAAGAATACTTAAGAAGTGTTCAGATGTTAGTACTTTATAGACAAAAGCAGATTCAGTTCAGCAGGTGAGTTTTTTCTTCCAAGAACTATGAAGTGAAATGACTTTCATGAATCCCATTCTTGTGCACGCTGACTGAACACAATGGGCTCCAATATTTTCAAGGAAAAGTATGACAGCAGAAGGATAGCTAAATTATCGATTTTACTTATAATATTGTAGTGCATATCGAAAGATGGGAAAGTAATAATTAAATCCACATGATTAATCCAAAACCCGATACTTTATTTGCAACAAAAATACTGTGTAAAGAGTGCAACAATGATAGGAATGTGGAATAATAATACCTGCATGTGATCCTTGTGTTGAAACGTCTCAAAGCACTTCAGTTTTTCTGTAACGTGTAGTGACTGTATTTATCGATGAATGCAGCAGCAAATATGCACATAGCAATGTCCCACAAACAATCATGAATGAATGACCAATCTTTTTGTCTGGAAGATTGCCGACCAGGATACTGGGAGAAACTCCCTTCTCGTTTCAAATAGTGTCGTGGGATCTTTAACATTCATTGGAACAGATTGCAAAAGCCAAGGCTTGGGGACTCTAGAATGTGCACTGGGGTATTTTTTGACCAAATAGTTTGACCACATAGTTTGCCATTAAACACATTGTCTGGCAACCTTCCAGATGCTTATCCAGCTAAAGACTGCTGTACCCTTTAGATCTTTGTCTTGCAGGGTTAACAGGAGCTGAGTGGGAAGAATCCTTATCCCCAGTGACTAAATCAATATGTATTATATATAGTAATGTGGCAATTTGTGGGTCGGAACTCCACATCAGGACTTTGAACTTATAGTCCAGGCTGACATTTCAATGCAATAAGGAAGGGCTGCATTGTTGGAGGTGGCAGCCTTTGTTAAACTGATGTTAAACTGAGGTCCTGTTTGCCTTTTCGGGTGGACGTTTCCGATCCAACTATTCAAAATGAGTTTCTCCCAGTGTTCTAGCAAACAATCCCTCAAACAAAAAAATGGCCATTCATTTCACAATTGTCCGTGTGCAAATTGGCTGCTCTGCTTTGACTAGAAATAAATGGACACTAAACTTTACAGTAAATCCCTTGAAACGCTTTGAGATGTTCCGATGACTTGATGAGGTGTTACATTAAATGCAAGGATTATTATTAACATTCCCTGAGTCTATTTCTTGTGGATTATCACCAGCATTAAATTATTACATTATATGTATCCAGGATGTCTGATAAGCACAATTTTGGAGTAAGAAAGGCAGATAAAAGTGAACAATAGATAAGGTGACACAGGTTAGTTAACAAACCATTCTTATTAATATGCTACACATACTCTCTATTAGCCAAAACGAAGCCTTCACATACATGACTCCATTAGATCTCCATTTCATAAGTTCACTTATTATTTTCAGATAAGCCAGAACATAAATAACTGGATGAAATATTAATTACCTGCAAGAGAAGATTAATTGGGAAGACACGATAACAGAATGTGACATTGTCAGCCTATTGCAGTGAGGAAGTGGAGGGAAATAAACATGGCTTACTTTATACAATGTCCGAAATCAATGTTACTGCAATCAATAGAGTGGGTATCTGGCTGGGCTGTCCATTCCAGTAGTCGAAACCTCAGTTTCCACTGAAGTGATTAAAATGTAAATCTTGGTCTTCAATGAGACAAGGATCTCCATTCTAAACAACAGTTTGTGCAACCAATGGTAAAGGAACTTACTGTATTTATATAAATAAGAGTGTTGCACTCAAGTTACCACTCAGATCACTTCTGACAATAAAGCTTCTTTTACCCTAGTGTTCTCTTTTGAAGTTTTTTTTTTGGCAGCTCCACTCTGTTGATTATGGCTACGTCAGGAATTCATAAAGAACAATTCGTACAGTTGTCCTTGGCCGGGCTGCTAACACCTTTGTCGTGTAGGGAAAGGTAAGAAGCCAGACCTTCTGCGTAGATATGCTCCTTGTATCAGATAACTGCAGACGTCACAATATTGTGGAGAAAACAACAACAGTCTCTCCTCAAGAATGAAGCGAGGCAGCAATGTGAAATTAATGTGGAGGCGGATTTAATTTGGAAATGCAATTTATACAGGTACGATTGGCTGAATGGCCTTCTTCTGCGTTGTGCTGTAGATTTCTATGGTTCTATATATAAGTAATTTCTGGTTCCACACATACAAAATCACTTCTTAAAGGATCTGGAAGATAGCTCAGTGGTAAACTTCAGATGTCAATTATTCAACCATGAGAAAGCACTTGGAAGCACACTGGCTGGAAATTACTCAGTAAAGAATTAATGCACTAATATATTGGCCAGCAAACAAAATGCTCTACAATGTCCAACAATTGTTTGTGATAAACCCTGCAGTGAGCAAACCGAAGGATGCTTTTACTCAGTGTTGTCGTCAAACATTTGCTGTAAAACCCCTTTGAAAGCATTCACATACAGTAAATTGCAAGAATCCACCACAGTAAACTCTTTTCCCACCTTATACCTTTGCTGATAATGAGAATAGGGCGTGATCAAAGTGTCTTGCAATTTGCTTTGAGATAAACAAATTGTTTATTGTATTCCATTCAAATGTGCAACACTCAAGTATTAATCAAACACTGCTATTGTTTTCTGTGGCTGTTCTGCCATCGTAATTATAGATACTTAAGTTTTCATTTTTACACAGGATGTATTTTTTCCAGATCTGAAAAAACGTTACCCTGAATTTCTTTATTCTGAAAGCGTATATCACTGGATTCACAGCTGAATTTGCATGGGACATAAATATTCCGATATAGAAGGCAGTTTTCGTGACTTTCCACTTTGGGAAAAAATATTTAAGGGAGTTCATGGTATGCAAAGGTAGCCAGCAGACAGCGAAGAGGAACAGAACTAAAGCCAGTGATTTCGCGAGTTTAAGTTCTTTTCCAAAATATCGTCTCGAGTCCGTAGCCTTGGCCATCTTCTTGCTCAGTTGTTTCTTTATCAAGTAAAATATTTCAGCGTACAACCCGAACATGATCAACAGAGGGAAGAGGACCCAGCCGAAGAAGTTAAAGTAAACCATGTAATCCATTCGGACGACTAACGTAAACTTGCATGTGATGTATCTCTCGCTGGAGTTCTTCTCTTGCTCTTGCACAGCCTCGCTGCTCCTGTTGTGCCAGCCCAGCATGGGTGTTATGCCAATCAAAAAAGATCCAAGCCAGCAGATGGCTACGGCAATCCAGGCTCTCCTCTGGGTTACAATGATCCTGTACCTGGCCAATGACACAGAAGGTTTTAGAAATGAGTGTGCTTGCTCTATACCAATAGACTTCAGTTAGTCATGAACGTGACATCCCAGGTAACCTCAGACATCTGTCTTTCCTGAACCTTTACTGCCATTTGAAACAACCCATGTTGTGCATTTGGTCACTCAATCCACGACTGTTTGTGGGACACTGCTGTGCGCAATTGGCTGCCGCGTTCGCCCACAAATATACAGTCAATTCACTTTACAGTGTGTTCTGTGAAGCGCTTTGGGACGTCCTCCCGATGTGAAAAGCGCTATATCAAATGCAAGGATTATTATTATTAAGAATATCCAAACCAAGCTGAGAATTCCATGCAGCCCACCTACACATAGAAATCCCAGAGACAGGTTGTTGGAAAGGAATGCGTACTCTCTCAGGGACTTTTCTGGAAAATAGTATGCACAGGTTGGCAAGAGCCAAGACTTGGGGACCCCACAGTGTGCAACGGGGTAACTGCTGGAGTTGAACCAGCTAAAACCGCCATTGATATTGCTGTCCAGCAAGCTTTCCTGCTGTTTGTCCAGCCAGGGCCGCCCTACCTGTTAGGGCTTTGGTTTGCAGGGTGGGATGACTCTCTGCCCCCAGCGACTGGTCCGCCCTTCCAGGTCCTGCTGATGAACCAGACTGTGCTGTGCTGACGTCAGCAGTGCCCTGGAATACTGTGGACCTGCCTGCACAGAGTGACATCAGAGCAGGGCTTCCTGGTGCATTGCACACATGGCTGCAGGAAGTGACGTTAGTGGTGTCCTGTAAGACCTGAAGCCCTAATCACCGGCTAATTTTTAGTAAGCCCCTGAGTTTCTGGACCCAAATCACCATGTTACAATGGGGTCAGTATGAAGTAACAAAGCCAATAGTTAAAATATTAAGTACAATTGGGGGTGGGCATTTTTTCTCCTTTTCGCTTCTCAACTCTTGCTGCACTAGTTTCATAAATTTAAGTCTCAGATATGAAGGATGGTAACCTGAGTAAGTTACCAGACGACATCTGGGACCAGTGAAACTGCACCTCAGCCTGACAACCTCCTTCATGACAGGGAGAAAATTGGAAGAATAAAGCTTTGAACGTGTTTCACAGATTAAGAATAACCAACTGCGTATTTTGAGATTGCAAGTCATTTTGGGGGTGAGGTAAAGATGCCAACTTGTAATTGCTGTACTCTTTATGATTTGCCTAAGCGCTCTGGGATGCTATCCTGCGTGATGGGCGCTATATAAATGCAAATTATTGTTGCTGCAGAATGTGCAACGCATTTACTTCTACCTATCCATTCAGACATGTTTTCAATTTAATGTTATTACTTTGTTCCAAACAAATAGGGCCAGATTGCATCCTTAACAACCAATATTGGATTTAACATCTGTTCAATTTGAGTAATCTGAATGAATAAGAGAAATATGATGAACAATATAATTTGCATTTATATGATGTTGGATTGGGAGGTCATCTCAAAGTGCTTCACACAGTTGGATGGACATGATTTGCACATCCTGTGTCCCCAAATTCTTTTGTAATCTACTTGTTTTCATTTGTTAATTATAGCTGTTTCACCTTATAGCTGCTTGTCGGGCTCCCCAACTCCTCCCTCCACAGGTTGCAGATCATCCAGAACTCTGCAGCCCGTGTCCTCTCCCGCACCAGGCTCTGTGACCCTATCACCCCCATCCTCGCCCGACTCCATTGGCTTCCCATCACACAGAGGATACAGTTCAAGATCCTGATCCTCACCTTCAAAGCCCTTCATGGCCTCGCTCTCTCCCTTCCTCTGTGACCTCCTAACCCCCTACCATCCTGCTTGGTCCCTCTGCTCAGCAGGCTCCGCTCTGCTTCATGTCCCCTGCCTTACTTGCCCCACCATTGGTGGGCAGGCCTTCAGTCACTTTGCCTCTACCCCCTGGAACTCCATCCCGCACTCCCTCCGTCTCACCCTCTCCCTTGCCTCCTTCAAGACCCATCTCAAGACCCTCCTCTTCGACCATATCTTTGATCACCCTCCTTAGCCCCCTGTTATCCACCCTCGCTGATCCCGATCCCAAACTCGGGTCCAAAACACTGATTGCCCAGCACCTTGGGACGTCTTCCCAACATGAAAGGTGCTATAGAAATATAATTTTGTTGTTAGTTTTATCAGCACTGGTGAATCAGTAGTCAGTCACTGGGGAATTGGCTCCTCCGCCCTTCCCCTTCAGTGAAGCACTTTGAGATCTCTTGATATGAAAGGCATTCAATAAATCTAAATTGATTGTATCGTACGTAAGATGGATGCCTTGTTTGCCTGCAAATATACAGTAACTTCCTGTGAAGCACTTTGAAATTTTTGACGTTGTAGGCACTATATTGAGTGCAGTGATGATTATTATTATACATTTAAAAATGCTCCAACTTTTTCGTGGTGCAATCGGTCACTGTTTAATAACTTGTATCTGAATAACAAGATGCAGTTCTGCCCCTTCCTCTCCTATTTGCCAAACATTTTTTTGTTAAGGAAGAAAGTGCTTTAAAGCTAAATCGACCTGGATCAGATCTGCATAACACATTGCATTTGATAAATCTAGATCTCTAATGATAATAATAATTAATAATAATAAAACAGTTCTTGCATTTGATATAATGTCTATAACATCTCAAATGCTTTACAAGTTTAATCATAGTCACAATTTGTACAGTTGGCCTATGATTAAACTTGTAAAGTACTTTGAGATGTTATAATAATAATAATAATAATAATCCTTGCATTTGATATAGCGCTTTTCACGTCTTCTAGACGTCTCAAAGGGCTTCACAGAATATACTGTAAATTGACTGTATATTTTGTGAGCGAAACGCGGCAGCCAATTGCGCACAACAGTGTCCCACAAACAATCGTGAATTGAAGTGACCAATTTATTATTTTTTCTTGAAGGATTATTATCAGGCGTAAGGAAACTTGCCCAAGGTTTTATCCTGCCAGGACTCGAACCCAGGTTTCTTGAGTGCTCTAACCACTGAGCTATAGACATTATATTGCATCAGATTGCGAGGATTACTGCTATTTATTTATAATAGACATGCAGATTCCCTTGTACAGACAGCTGAGGCCATCTACACCCGCTTTATTTGTCAGTAAATGTTTTCAGGACAGTTTGGAATAATTCTCCAATGTACTATTGTACTGAGTGAGTTGGTGATGTCTGGAGAGGGAGAAAATTAGCTTATTCAGCACATTCTTAATTAGGAAATGTTCTTACCGGTTTGCAGTATATTGATGCCTGTGCAACGCAATGCAAATCCATTGACATAATGGTATTTGGCAGGGAGAAGGTAAATATTGAACGGATTGATCACAGCAGGCAACATGTTCCAGCTAAAATACTTTGCACAAACCGTTCTGCTCTATTGAAACCCTTTGACTCGGCATATAAAATTGCCACATATTATAGAATATAACCTAATAAAGAAGGTAATGTATTATATAACCATATGAATAAAAAAATAAATCTTGCATTGGATACACATTGCCTCGTCACTTCACCCAAATGTTGCTTCACAGGATTTACTGTGACCATGTATTTTGTAGGTGAATGTGGCAGTCAATTTATGCACAGTAATGTCCCACAAACAACGATGTAGTGAATGACCAACCGGGGGATTGTTGGCCAGGACTCCGGGAGAAATTCTTTGTGAATTCTTTGTACCATGGCATCTTTAATATCCATCTGAACATGCGGACACATCTCGGTTTAATCTATTCAAAATGATGGCACGTCTAACAATGCAGTGGTTCTCAGTACTGCACTGAAGTGTCAGCCTAAATTATGAGTTTAAGCTCCCACAACCTTCCTCTGCTGCACTCGCAACAACCTGTGATCTCCAGAAATAAATTAACAATAAAAGAGACTGATTTTTTAAAAAAAAGAGTTAATACCTTGCAAAATTCCATTCTATTTTAAATATAGCTTACATTTACGTGGCACACCTTTCAATGTAAACCAAAGCAACGGGAAGCGATTTACAAAATAAATTTGTTGAAAAATGAATGTAAATGTTGTTATACACTCAGGTCCTGACTATCACTTAAATTAAAATTTAACATTTAAGTCATGTTTAAATTAAACATGTTTTAAATGTTAAATTTAAATAATTTACATTTTAAACCTTAAACCTAACATTTAACATTAAAATCGTGCTAAAGATCCCAGGGCACTATTCGAAAAGAGTAGGGAGTTTCTCCTGGTGTCCAGAGGCCAACAATTCCCTAAATTAAATTGATTGTGGGAACGTCGCTGTCCGCAAATCAGCTGCCGGGTTTGCCCACGAAATGCACATCACTTTGCAGGCAAATCACTTTACAATACATCCTGTGAAGCCCTTTGACGCGTTTTGACGACGTGAAAAAGTGCTGTATGAAAGGCAAGGATTATTGTTATCATGTGGGAAAACTTGGCAGCTAATCTGTGCCAACCTCGCACCACAACATCAATGAGTAGCCGATAAATCAGATAGAGCAGATGAAAGGACAACAACAACTTGCATTTAATACAGCGCTTCTCAAAGCAGGGTAAGATCCCAGAGTGCTTAAAGGTATTGAACCAATGGTTTCTAAGTCAGCCAATCGCCCGCAGGTCTGCTTCGATGCAACAACGCCCCGATACATTTAAGCGCTTTGAGACGTCTCGAAGACGCGACGAGGCGCTGTAACAAATGCAAGGATTATTATTATTATTATTATTACTACTTTCGACGCGAGTCTGTTTAAAGTAAAGTGGTAACGCCATCGGGTTGGAAGGATCGAGGAGCGAAAGACTGTTCACCTGGTTGGGATCTTGACTCGCAGGTAGCGGTCCACGGCGATGGCCAGCAGGGAGAGAATGGAGGACTGAGTCAATGTCAGCAAGATGCAGGCTATGAAGAGGCAGGTGTAGAAATGTGTCTTCATCCCCAGGCTGATGGTGATGGCCAGGGGGATAGCCAGAGCCCCCACTGCAATGTCAGCCAGAGCCAGGGACACAATGAAACAGAAGGTCGTGTCTCTCAAAGAACGATTGATTTTGACAGCCCAACAAACCAGGACATTCCCCAGGATAGAAGTCACTGCAATCAGCAGCTCCACCACTATGTACACAACATCTACTTGATCCGACATCCTGCTCTCTCTCTCTCTCTCTCTCTCTCTGCTGGAGGTCTTCAGTCTTGGGTTTGGGCTTCTTCTGTCTTTTATCTTTATCCTCTGTGTGTCTTGAGTGTATCTGTGTGTGTGTCTGAGTGTATCTGTGTGTGTGTCTGAGTGTATCTGTGTGTGTGTGTGTGTGTGAGTGTGTTGTGTGTGTCTGTCTTTGTGTCTGTGTGTGTGTGTGTCTCTGACTCAGGTTTCAGTGTTCAATTTGCACGAATTCTGCAATTGCAGAGAAAAAAAAAGGGTGATATTTGTCCTTGTGTGTTGGGTGGTGGTGGGGAGGAGGAGAGGGGAGGAGAGAGAGAGAGAGAGAGGAGAGAGAGAAGGGCAAGGGGAGAGAAAGAGAGAGAAGGGGAAGGAGGGAGAGAGGGAGAGAGAGAGAGAGAGCATCAGCAATCTTTCTTTGGAGTCAGGAATTTCTATCCCTGATAAGCAGTCTGTGGCTTCCTCCAGCAGCAGCTCCTCGTGTCCATTTCCCTCTGTCCAGTGAGTGAGTGAGTGAGTAAGTGAGTGAGAGTGAGAGTGTGGAGTGAGCTCCACAGCAGCAAAGGCTCTGGGATGTACCCTCAGGTGATGGGTGTCTTGCAGCAGATGCAGCTCTCTCTCTCCAATCTCAACCAGAGGTCCACTTTGATCTCCTGGTGTGTGTGAGTGTGAGTGTGAGTGTGTGTGAGTGTAGTGTAGTGTGAGTGTGAGTTGGACCTCTTGATTCGATAGAAAAATCTGTCAGATGCACTGATCTAATTCATTCCCCAGCCCAGCTCCAAATTCCTGGTGTTAACACATTTCTCTCTCTCTCTCTCTCTCTCACTCTCTCACTCTTATCTCTCTCTCTCTCTCTCTCTCTCAGGCATCGCACTCCATCGACAGACACATCTGACCCTTTTGCACTTTATTTAAAGACCTTTGCAATAAAAGTGCTGTCGTTGCCAAAGGGAGGGACTTTCGAGCAGAGAGCTACACCCTCCCCTGGGCTTGTCTGTGGAGCTGTGGGTCGACTGGTCTCTCACTCAGCCTTGTCCTCTTTCCCCCCCCCCCCACCCCCCTCCCCTTTTTCTCCCAAGCCTTTTATTTAACCCTTTCCCCCCCCTCCCCTTCCCCCCCTTCCCCCCATTCAGAGACAGAGATCCCTCTGATATTTCACACACTGAGTTCTTATTCCATGTTCTCCATTCCACAACGAACCTCACTCAGTTGCAGTTGCTGAGACTGTCCACACACACTCCATCCCTTTTCTTGTTGAAACATCCTGTTGTTTTGTTGTGGAAGGATAATGCGACGACAACAACGTGCACTTATACAGCGCCCTCTCTGCGGGTTAGTGCCCAGGGGAGCTTCATCATCATCATAATCGTAATAATAACCATCATTGCATCTGATGTGGTCCCTTTCGATCGCGCCATCCCCCTCCACCGCCTTTGCTCCGCCGGTGGGACCGCACTCGCGTGGTTCGAGTCCTACCTCATGAACCGCCAGCAGTGCATCTGCACAAACGGCTTCTCCTCCCGCTCTCACTCGGTCACCTGCGGGGTCCCCCAAGGATCCTTCCTTGGCCCCCTCCTCTTTCTGATCTATATGCTCCCTCTTGGGGATGTCATCCGCAGACATGGGGTACACTTCCACATGTATGCAGATGACACCCACCTCTATTTCTCCACCTCACATTGTGACCCCCAGTCTCCTGATGTTCTGTCAGCTGCCTGTCAGACATCAGGAGCTGGATGAGCGCAAATTTCCTTCAGCTGAATGTTGACAGGACGGAAGCCATGCTATTTGGCTCTCGTCAACGTCTAAAATCACATGGTTCTCACCTATCTGACCTCCCCCTAAAACTCTTCGAACCCGTACGCAACTTAGGCGTCAGGTTCGACCTCCAATTATCCTTCCTTCCACACATCTGGTCCCTCACCAGCACCGCTTTCTTCCACCTCCGACGCATCGCCCGTCTCCGCCAATACCTCTCCCCAAAAGCCGCTGAAACCCTTGTTCGTGCCTTTGTTACCTCTCGGCTGGACTATTCAAATGCCCTCCTTGCTGTTCTCCCCTCCACTACCATTCACAAAATCCAAGTCATCCCAAAACTCTGCCACCCACATTCTTACCCGCACCAAACTCCGCTCCCCGATTACCCCAGTCCTCGCCAGACTGCACTGGCTGCCTGTCCCAGTGAGGATCGACTTCAAGATCCTCACTCTTGTCTTCAAATCCATGCGCTCCTCTGCACCCCCCTACCTCTCTGACCTCCTCTCTCCTCACAACAGTGCCCGTTGGCTTGGCTCCACCGGGTCTGACCTCCTCCTCATCCCCTGAATCCTCCGCTCCACCCTCGGTGGCCGTGCCTTCAGCCACTATGCCCCGAGGCTCTGGAACTCCCTCACTCCCTTTGCCTCGCCCCTGCTCTTCCTATTTTCAGGTCTCTGCTGAAGACCTTTCTTTTCGACCGCGCCTTTGGTCACCTTCCCCCCCTCCACCTTCCCCCGGCTTGGCCCCTGGATCCGTTACGGTAAAGCGCTCTGAGACGCCGTCCAGCGTGGAGGGCGCTATATAAATCCAAGTTGTTATTGTTGCTGCTGCTGTTGTTTCATGCTGGGAAGAAGTCCCAAAAAGCTTCATGTGATTTTCTGAGAAGTAACTCTATTTGTGGTCCAACGCAGCAGCTAATACTCACTCAGCAATATCCCAAAACAGCCATGAAGTGAATGATCAGTTTTATCTGAGTATTGTTGGCCAGGACTCCCTTCCCCAAGAGAAACTGCCTTCTCTTTTCAAATTGTGTAAGCGGGATCTCCTTGGAGCTGAACCCTCCATGGCGGTCTCTCGTCTGGTTCCTGAGCCAGATGGGTCCGCGGTATTCCAGGGCACGGCTGATGACAGCACAGCCAGCAACAGCAGGACCTAGAAGGGCAGACCAGTCACTTGGGGGAAGGGAATCATCCCACTCAGCTGTTAACCTTGCAAACCAAAGCCCTAACAATGGGGAAAACTTGGCCAACAGCAACATCAATGTGGGTTTAGAACATAAGAACATAAGAAATAGAAGCTGGAGAAGCTATTCAACAACAACAAGATTGCATTTATAGAGCGCCTTTCACGTCGGGAGGACGTCCCAAGGCACTGGACAGTTGGGTCAGGACCCGAGCATTGGGGGAAATGGTCAGGGTGAGGGGAGGGAAGGGAAGGAGCGAGGAGGGGGTAGAGAGTCGAGAGGGGAGCTGAAGGCACGGTCGAAGAGAAAGGTCTTGAGACCGGCCTTGAAGGAGGAAAGGGAGGAAGCGGCGAAGGCACTGGGGATGGAGTTCCAGAGCCTCGGGGCTGAGAGGCTGAAGGCCCAGCCACCGATTGTAGGGCGGTTGGGGCGGGGGATGTGGAGCAGACCGGAGCCAGAGGAATGGAGGGTACGGGCAGGTAGGTAGGGGGATAGTAGGTTGGAGAGGTAGGAGGGAGCAAGGCCGTGAATGGCCTTGTAGGTGAGGATTAGGATCTTGAATTCGATCCTCTGGGGGATGGGGAGCCAGTGGAGGCGAGCGAGGGTGGGAGTGATGTGGTCGCGAAGCCTGGTGCGGGACAGTACACGAGCTGCAGAGTTCTGAATGAGCTGCAGCTTGTGGAGGGAGGTGCCGGGAAGGCCGACGAGGAGAGCGTTCCCGTAGTTCAGCCCCTCGAGCCTGCTCTGCCATTTAATAAGGTCATGGTTGATCTTCTAACCTAATTCCATTTACCCGCCCTATCCCCATATCCCCATATCCCTTAATCCCTTTAGTTTTTTAAAACCTATCAATCTCAGTCTTGAATATGCTACATTGCACCCCCTCTAAGGCGAGTATATCCTTTCTTAGATAAGGAGACCAAAACGGCACAGAATATTCCAAGTGCGGTCTCACCAGGGCCCTATACAATTGCAGCAAGACTTCCCTACTCTTGTACTCTAACCCCTTTGCAATAAACGCTAACATGCTATTAGCCTTTCTAATTGCTTGCTGTACCTGCATTCTAACTTTCTGTGATTGGTGTTCCTAAATCCCTCTGAATACTAACACTACCTAGTCTCTCCTGCTGTAGAAAATAATTTGCTTTTCTATTTTTTCTACCTAGGTGAATAACTTCACATTTCCCCACATTATACTCTATCTGCCACCTTCTTTCCCACTCACTTAACCTGTCTATATCCCTTTGCATCCTCCTTGTGTCCTCACAGCTTACTTTCCCACCCAGCTTTGTTTCGTCCGCGAATTAGCTACAGTATTTAGATGGAGTCCTATAGTTTAGTGGTTAGAGCACTCACGTTCCTGTGAAACTTGCAAGCTACTTTATATGATAAGGGTGGTCTTAGCTAGACAAGCAATGAAAAAGCAATTAGACAATCTAGACTCTTCATTCTTGAGAGAAGATGACTCAGAGGTGACCTTATAGAGATGTATAACATTTTAAATTGGATTGAAAAGAGAAATCCAGATCAAAATTTTTGGATGGACCAAGACAGTACAACAAGAGGATACAGGTTTAGAGATGTAAATCGCAATTTCAAGACAGACACCAGGAAGTTTTTCTTTATTCAGAGGGTAACTAATGACTGGAACAGGTCACCAGGTAGGGTGGTTGAGGCCATAACACTGGACTCGATTAAAAAGCAGCTTGATGCTGTGATGGGAGGATGGTTGTAGTGTTCTGGAAATGAAATGCGTTGGGGCTTTTTTGAGCAAAGTGGCTGCTTATTTCTCTGTTGGTGCTGAAGATCGGATATGTCAGCTTCGCTCATCAACAGGACTTGAATGGACAGACCAGGCACTGGCAGGTTGAATTCTGTCCACTCAGCTCCTATTCGCCTACCAAGTGAAAGCCCTAACAGGGAGGGTGGTCCTAATTGAACAGGCATGGGAACACTCGCCAGTCTGTGCTCTCAAAGGCAAGCTATGTGGTTTCTGGCTGGTTAAACTCCTGCTGTATCCCAATGCACACTCTGGGGTTTGAGATGTCTCAATGACCTGATAAAGCGCTATATCAAATGCAAGGATTATTATTATCATAATAAAATCAATATGCTTTTGTTAGAGAGTTAACATTACAAATGGCCAGCTTTTCTG